TCTTGAACTTTCCTTCATCCTACATGGGAGGCACTTCTATAAGTGGAAATAAATTCAACTCAAAACATTGGGTGATGCGAACCAATGCTTCCGCTCAAAATCCGATTCCAGGACCTGCAGCTGTTATAGACGCACAAAACAGTGCTGTAATGGTCTGCCACAATGCTCTCATGATCGCAATGGGTATCGTCTCGACTTTTTCAGACACATTCCTGCTGGCATGACACAAGCTCAGATGATCGCTAATCGCAGGGGTCAAATTGCTCTCGAGCTACATCGTGGTCAATTGGCTGTCGCTCCAAGTCGACAATACATAGCACCCATGTGGCCGGAGCAGAGCGACAATTTTCGATACACAGGCGGATTCACACAATTCAAAAATCTCATTGCCAAGCACTGCAATTATGGAGTCGTGGAAGAGCTGTCCCGTAGAGATCGCGCGAGATGGTATTGAGGTGTGCCACCTAAAATCGATTTCGATATCGGTCGCAGGATAACGAAGCCTAATCTTATTCGTTATGGTCTGACGCGAGGAATCGCCATACACAATATGCGGTATGCTTCATGGGGTCCGTCGCGGAATATCGTTGAAAAGTTCGATTACATGGCAAGAACACAGGCTAATGGTAACCCGGCTATTAATCCTCCTTCGTACTGATGCATCTATCGCGCTGTTTTGCTATGCCATTATCTCTGTATAGTTTTCTTATTACTTTCTTTCACGTCTCTTTTCAAAGTGGTTTGCATGTTACCTGCTTCCATTTATATACATACCAAATTTTGATAAATATTCATCGGTCAGGTGCTATGTAGTTCAATTCGCATTATATCCTTTCACAGTACTTTCAAGTTGGGTCCGCGTGAATGGCTGTGTAATTATATGAAGAATGGTTTGCTTTGGGAGAAAAGCAGTTCTTAGATCTATTCCACTTGATTCCTGGTTCGATACACACGTCCGCAATATCATATATAATTATTAGCGACATGAGTTCAATTCGATCATAATCTTGAGTCCCATATTTCAATTCAAAGTTAGAAATACCATAGAGAATGATTGAACACTGATTAACATTTATATTTTCGAGCTTTTTATCATGTTTCATTGAACGATAGATCCTTAAATTTAGAAGACTCGTCTTCTCTAAATTCTGTATAGGAAGCTTATCATGTTCTCTCGTCGCACAAGCGAGGAGATCTTGGTAATACTGTAGTGCAGTTTGCCTACAGCTCACCAATTTGTATTACTCAAGTATTTCCTTGAACTCTATAAATTATGAAGCAGGACAAGGAATACCGACCAAGATTTATATCTATTCACTCTGGAGCTATTTGTTTCAAGGAATAGAAGGCACAAAGCCTCGATATAAGATGGAAATAAGTCCAGATCTTATAAAAAACGAATCAAATATATCAACTACACTAAGAAACCCACAGTTACACAAAACACACAGTACCAATCAAACAAGTTTACAATAACAAACCCAACAACGAAAAGTAAAATAATGATAACAGTGTCAAGATCCCCGGACAGTCTCTCGAAATCAGGAAAGAGTGCAGAACACCAACAATTCAAGACCTGCTCAAACCTCCCTTCTACGTTCGCCAGACGGCTTACTACTTCAGCTTCTGAAAAGGCTTCTGAAAATCCTTGATGGACTCTTCTTCCTCTGCCTCTCTTTCTCCTGTGGTCGGCCAGCGAGTGTATCGAATAATTTGTCTGGCGGAATATTTTGCTCTGTACCCTTGTGATGTTTTCTACCTTCTGGATCTCTCTTATTGATTGCGTAGATAGGTTGAGGTGTCGACTCCGGCTGATTTACCAGCCCATTTGGTATATTATCTGCATGGGTTTCACTTCTCAACCAATCTTCACGGAGGCCAAGAAAGGCGTCTTTATTAGCTAGTCCTCCGTTTATATTAGCTTCAAGGCCTGGGTCTCTCGTTCTTACTTTTCCGCCGCGTTTGTGCCACGCACCATCTCTATCTTCATCTCTTGTTTGCTCTCCACCTGGAGGTTGCCACATAGGCTCGGAACGGGATTTTACTTTCAAATTCTCCCCATCTCCACTTCGATGACGACTTAATCCTGGTTCTGCATGTCTCGAGTTTGACCCTTGTGATTGCTCTCTTTTCTTGATAGGTTTTCGTTCAATTTTTCGTTCCTCCTCCCAATCACTACACGTCTCTAATATTGGCACCTCTTCTTTAGCATGAACATTTACATCTGTATGAATGTTAGATACTTGGATGTTGGTGTTTGTAATCAGAGACTGGAAATAACTCACGCTCAACTGTCCTCCGTTTCGCTTTGGCTTGAGGCTTACTCACCTGACCTGGCAAGTACTTCTCCCCATCAAATGGTGCTAATGGCGGTCTGATGGGTTTACGACTTTTTGATTCATCTTTTTTCCGTCCGCTTTCGCTATCGTATCCCTCTTCACCATAAAGTGAGAAATCATTGCTTTCTGGGGCAAAGCTACGGTAAGGATCATCACGGCCAAACAGATATACTGGCGCTGGCGATTCAGCTCTCTTAGAACGGGTTGACGACGCTTGTGAAGGTGCTCGTGATTCCCGACTATGACTCCGAGCTGAACGATTTCCCGAGTCCGGGTTACTATGCATTTTTTTCCTTCTATCAGTAACATTACCGCTACCCATACTTCCATCAGTATCATTACCACTACTTCCCCTACTTCTACCCCTAGATTTCGTCCTCCCATGGCTATCATTTCCGCTCCAGCTTCCATTAACATCACTATCATAATCACTTTCTGGAGGAATCGATCCCACAGGTTTGCGATGGCCTGGATCACCGCTGTAATCAAAGTCTTTGACGGCACCTATTCGGTCAAAGCTAACATTTCTCGGGACATTCGCTGATCGCCCACCGGAAGAGGAACTGTTGCGTGATGAAGGACGCGTTCTGGATGATTCGCGGGACGCAGGTGGAGGCATTTTAGCGAACAATATAAGGAGATCCCTGAATATTCCACCGGAATCCACAAGGAAACATAAACTTTTTCAATAAGGTTTCATAACCTTTAAACCTGTAGCCCAGATAACCCAGATATGTAATACCACCAACAAGGAAAACAACTCATGCACCGCCATTTCTCGAGGTCCGAGGATTTTCCCCTGAGGACGATGTCATGAGGACCGACCATACTGAACGTAAAAAGCCACTTCATCTCATCCTGAACTTCTCGGCGTGCCTACAGAGATTCACGAGAAGAATCGGTTGTCCATTGTCAACCACATCTGGCCGGCATATCTCCTGGTCGAGTCCGGCCCGAGACCCACGTGATAACTGACCCTGCATTGCCGCGCGCTTGATCTGCGTTCATAGTTTGTTGTCCGCATGTAGACCCAAGAATCATTCTATTATGACGTATCTTTTTTCGAGTGGTTTGAGGAACTGATAGCATGATTGGCGTACTAAGGAAGAGGTCCAAAGAAATTGTAATCCGGAGATCAACACTCCACGCTCCCCGATCACGATCGCGATTCTTTTCTAGAACAATCCTTCCTGTGAAAGTGTAGGCACTGCTTAGGTAGTTGTAGAGTTCGCGATTTATATTTGTAATCTTCGTAAACAATAGCAGTTTCTCGCATGTGTTGATCAGACGAATTGCGCACGAGGTGGAAGTATAGCTTCTCACCAACTTTTGTGTGAGATGAGTACAGCTGCAGTATACTCCTCGCCAATTTGTAATTCATTATAAATGGAAACTATATAGCTAAGCTTAATAGTTTCCACATCTGAGATTACTAAATCGGAAAATTGCGGCAATCATTCTCCATTACCAGACACTCCGAGTGAACAGAATTCAGAAGTATGACAAGCAAGTCAAAACACGCAAAAGAAAGAGAGTTGGAAAGATTCACTGACCTACATATACAATAGCTAGGTAGGTAGCATTAGACATCAAGGGAATTATCTCTTGATTCCATAGTCTTTATGCGATAGTCATTAAAATGCAAGCCTCCGCGTACTTATTGTAAAGAAAACAACCTAGTGTAAACAAGATAAGATGACAACGTACGTTCTAGAACCAGACTAAAACCACTAAAATTTGCATGTAACATAATATCGAATAATCCCAGAGTGAAAGTTAGCCTACGTAAACGCCGAAGCCAAATTGGACAATCAACGCCCTATATACCAAAACCCTTTTGTATCTTCACTGCCAACTCCTGAACTACAACGCCCAATCTAACTTAAGATCTCAACCCCCCCCCCAATCCTCTCATCTCTCTGTTCTCTCCACTTCCTGTAATCATCACTAACCACCACCGGAACCCCCATTCCCCTTGGCCACATCCACCTTCCATCTCCTTCCGAACTCCACACCTTGATCATACCTTCGAACGGCGGCTCGTCTCCTTCTTCCGGAGAAGGAGGGAGTGTCTTGTTCAAGAGAAAATTATCCTGCGATGGGTCATTCCTCCCCATCTTCTCATGTTCTTGCATCTGCACTCTTCCCCTGTTCAATCTATATTTCCTAGGCGGAACATCCATGAACCCCACATCTTCTTCATCCGAATAATAATCTTCTTCATTTACCAGTAACGATCTCTTGACCTCGTCCTGTTTTTCAATTTGTACGTATGCTGAGCGCCCGAAGGCTGTGGATGTGAAGGTGGTGTTCTTTGGGGAGGGGCCTGAGGATAGGGAGAGGCATGAACCCATTCTTGAAGGGGTAGATATGGATGTCGAAGAGGAGTTGGGATGGTAGTTGGAGTGGGATCTACGGAAGAGTGTCGTAAGAAGCGAAGACATGTATAAAAGTGATGATTGGTATGATTGGTATGATTAGTATAGAGAAATGAATTGAATGAATTACGTGAATGAAATTTAACAATCACAATGAAGCAGGTGCAGTCTGAATGACAAGAGATTCACCAACAGAAAAAAACGCAAATATCAACAGCGACTGAAAAGAAAGTACCAGACTTCAGATACCTGAAAACACAAAGTAGGAAAATAATCGCAAACCAGCGAATCTACCCCAAACGCGTAGATTCTAATATCATTTAAGAAGGTCAATTCTAAGTATTTCCAACAGCCTCAGGAAGCCAATATCTCTCATTTGTTGGAAGCGCGAAACGGAGGCTGAGCTTAACGCCGACCATGAAAGAGCCGCATTCAATCCTAATTCAACCACAACTTAGGCAATCATGGCTATTACCGACCATGATAACGGGAGATGAAAATATCTGTAACCTACATGGATCTGTTGGTTGGTAGGATGATTACATGCTTTGGGGATTTGCTCGCACGGTTATAGAAGTTTTTGCGGGGGTGGGTATCAGACATTGATATAACATTAGGCAGAGACAACACCTCTCATAGCTTTGACGCATGGATCAAAGGTCAATGTCGATATGATCCTCCCCGAAACCAAGAAAGTAAAGGGGTGAAAATGAGATTTCTGTGAAAGCCGTGAAAGCCGTGAAAGCCATAGTTGATATTCGTTCTTCTAAAACAAAGATACAATAGAAACCGATGAGTAAAAGGGCAAGTAATACATTGCCGATTGGGAAATTCTGAAGGGTATTTAGCTTACTTCCGTTTCAAATAATCAATCTGTTATCATCATGTTCTGGCCATGATTCCATATTGTGTTGGCCATGATTCTTTTCGCAATTTCTCCATACAGCTCATAGAATTTGCCTTTCCGTGGAATTGTTCTGTATGTTGCCTGGCAGAGATCTCAATTCCCACCATTTCCCTTGAACTCTTTCTCTTTCTTTTGTTGCTTGATCATAGCATCGATCCTGGCAAAACTTCCAAACCCCTCAATCAAACAGCTTGCCATCCATTTCCACCACAAAGAACTTCCCCTCTCGATGTTGTACTTCATAAGTCTGCTCCTATCCATCCAAATGACTTCCATCACATGTATCGCAAAGGTCGGTATGGCAATCTTGTCAGAAATCCACAAGAAAGTTTCTGGGCCGCCTGGAAACCATGACAACACATTGTCGTAGAAGAATGTACCAGGTACAATGCGCGATTTCGTAGCAAATATAACCGCCGTCATTAAACACAAGCCGAAAATCAATCGATGGAAGAAAATCTTCGGAGGCTCGTATCGAGTAATGGTATATGGGGAGATGTTGAGACCATCACGGCACTCGGAATCCATAGCAACAAATCGAGGTCGAGCATCGGCGTAGGAATTCATGGGAGGATCAAGGGGAATCGTGTGGGTTTTACCGGATTTGGAGGAAATTCGGAGAGAAGAGAGAGTGATATCGAGAAGATTCGGCTTGGAGGCTTCGCTTTTGGAGAGCTGACAGTAGTGCTGTAAGTAGAGGGATAGAGAGCCAGCATGGTCTGCGTTCATGTGTTTGAGGATGCGAACTTTGGTAGCAGCATCTTTCTCGGATGAAGCCATGAAACTCCGATAAATCAGGCGTGCTGATAGTGATTGTCGAGATCTATGGAAGATTCAAGGTATGACAAACAATACCGTCTTGTGGAGTTGTGCAATTTGTTCTGACACGGGAGTAAAGAGTTGAGGTTCACGGTGAAACCTCGGTTAGTCGGGCGTACCTATCCCAATGATACGCACTCTGTGCTTGTGATTTTCAACTGCAATGGCAATCATGAATTTGTCTCCTTGTCAATGATAATCTTCTATTGTTTTTATTTAGTTGCTGGTATACACCGACAGGTCTTTGAAACGGTCAAGAACATCTTAACGCGAGTTTCGTTTTCCGAGGTCCCCGTTTACCTGCGGACAAACCATACATAGAACCTTGCAGGAAATATAACACAGCGAGGTACTCGCCTGGTACAATACAGTTATCTTGTTAAACCAAAAGATTAGCCTCCCTGAAGTCCCTCCTTAATGTTTAACTGCTTTACTATCATAGCATTCCCAAAATGATAGGACGTGGGAACCCTTCTTCTATAGATCCTCCTGATGTTCTGTTGCTATCCTCATTGTCTCGTTCTATGTTGAGGGCCTAGTTTGAGGAAGAGATGAATGTGTTTGTCTGTTTGTTTAGCTATCACTCGTATATTCTCAACAATACCTTTTCATGATCGACACCGATTCCCAACTCGATCTGTAGAACAGCTTCGAGAACGGTCTGCAAATTTTCGTACCAGGTCAACCTGGCGTTGATCAATATGATTAGCCTCCACACAGTTTTATCCTGGTGGATGTGATAATATCCTCCAACCAAAAGCTGACGACTAATTACCCACCCAACTCAAAAGTTCCTCTAAACAGTTGTAAACGTCCCTTAATCTCTTGTACAGTTCCAAGATATGTTGTACCTCAAAGCTATGGTCTTACACACACGTGGAGGAAAGAGGGCCAGGTACTAAGAAAGTAGGGCTCCGTCCTTGACAACCTGTTACTTCTGCAGTCTGTGTGTGGTTCCCCTGCAGCTAGAGGACGGCATGAAATTAGTGAGAGTGGCTTTTCGACTAAGCTGGTAGGTTGTTGGGTTCGTTACCCGAACAGGGGGGGGGGGAAGTGTGCCGATGTGACGAAAGTGAGTATCTAATATAAGCCACAGCCAAAAATGTTCTCCCATTGTTCTTTCTGTAAATTTCCATATACGAGTCGAGTCCTAAGAAGCGAATAATAGAAGAGAATGGGCATCCAAGAGCACCTAAGTATGTATCACTTTGTAACGCTTGGCTATGGATGTACAGCTTTGAGAAGATAGTACACTTTATCATCCAGTGAGTACACCTAGACAGGTAGTAGGTACAAAAATGGATCAGAGTAGCAATGGGTGGGCAGCAAACACAATGCGATCCAACGAATCGGAATATCCAACCACCAACGCAACGAGCGACAAGACGAACGAGTGTATACGACAGAAAGTATACCTTACTGCAATGGTACTATCAAACTTGTTACCAGAAGATACTATCGAATAAACAGCCTTGGATAACGATACATATGACACAATGCTCAAGTAGATATTCAGGGGAAGCACTTTTAGTATCCCAAGATCTCAGACCAGTCCAGAGTAATAACAGAAAGCTTCCTGCTTCCATAAATACCTCTCTCCCTCTATAGATGTATCATATAATAGCTTTATTCATATGGAACAATTATGAATCACAGATGATAATATCAATAGCGAGACAACAAATAAAAAGAAAATTCATCAAAATTCGTAATACAAATCGTTCAGCCTTGTGCTCTGTATAGAAATAGATCTCAAGGAATCCTCAATTCACTGAACACAAAAGAGTGTGATGAGTGAAGTATGACCTCGAGTATCTCGAGATATAAGACATGAGATATCAAGATATAATTTCCCAAAAATCACCGACGACTTGCATTATCTGCACAGTATTAAATATAATAATAAATCTTCGTCTGAGAGCACATTAAATGTCCCTAGCACCATAACGATTACCCCCTTCCAAACCTTACCTAGAACACTTACCCCGACCTTCAGAAAAAAGTTAATGATATCGACAACGAGATCAATTACTAAATTCAGATACTGTTTGACTTGAATCCTAAAGTCTATTACTCTATCATATTCAAGTCCCTCAATACCACTAGACCAAAATCATCGACTCCTCGTTCCTGATCCTTGACTTCTGCCGCTACGATAAGGTACAGACTTCAATATTCTACTAAGATATATCAACAACGCGAAACAAAAAAATTAAAGAAGAAGAAAATTCTCCTGATGAAGCAGATTTCCTCCCATCTATCGCCGACATACCTTTGCTAATTAGCTTCGTCGCGCTGTCCACCGCATTCCACATTCTTCCCAATGCGCAGTTGATAATATGCCCTGGCAACCTCTTCCACGCATCGCATTCGCCGTCGCAACATACCCATTTGTTGCTTCCTCGCCCGCAGATCTTCCACTTGAGCTTGGGGATGAATTATACATAATTGAACAAGGTGGGAGAGATTCACAATGGTTTCGAGGATATTTAGTTGCTCCGCCAAATCTACTGGCGGGCTTGACAAGTATAAAAGGGCAGACTCTTGAAGCTAGGGTCTTCTCTGGAATATTTCCAACTAGTTGCGTAGAAGTTCGGGAGGTTCTAGGAGATGATGAGCGTGAAAGTCAGGTTTCTACGGAGGACGGAGACATTGTCAACGAGCACGGATATACGAATGGCATTTTGGAAAATAAGAGCTCTAGTCCTATCAATGGCGCCCACATTCATCAGCCCAATCGATCCGCAGATCTCAACGGCGCAAACGGACAACCTGCGAAGAAGAAACCGAAGAGCAAGGGTTTTAAGAACGGAAATACAAATAGATTTTCAATTGTTGCGAAACGAGAACCTGGCGCACCGAAGCCACCAGCTCCAGTACCTATGCTGAAGATTGGAGACGAGACACCAACTTCTGCCTCCGAACCGTTAGTGGACGAAATTGCATCCTGTTTAAGAGAATGGCACTCTACAAACTTGCACGAGCTCTTGCTTTCGAGACAATATCAGAAGTTGGATAAGATGTCAGCATTGGTCAAAACTCTAGATCTTTCAAGAAGGCAAATTCTGCACAATGTCTGCACAAAGCACGAGCTTCAGTCATTGAGGGAGAAAACAGTATGGGATCTCGTGAGGGGGAACAAATTGCTGAATGGGGAAGTTATTGTTCGAGATCCTGCTGCCCACGGTAGGGTTCTCACAGGTGATGATTCAGCAGTGGATGTCACTAGACTCCAATCTATGATGAGTTTGTTGGATGAAAAGCCGCAACTTTCGGTCCAGAACGAGAATATGGTACTCCACCATCTCTTGTTGGACGTGAAGGCTTTTGTTGGAGTGTCTACGGAATCTACAACTCTATCCTTTTTCTTGGCTGCCAAAAAGCCGGGTTCGGCAGGTGTGGCACTTTCGGAAACTTATATTGTAGACGTACCTCCTAGTGCTTCTCTTGCAAGTGTTGGGAAATCGGGACAAATGAGAACTCTCTTTACGGACCTCGCATCCACTGACGTCGGAGATCTCCTTTCCACGGAAGGCGAGTTGTATCTTGTAGTGAAGGTGCAATCGTCGTCACAAGTTTTAGCAGGCAAACCTCCCTCTCGCGGCGGATCAAGAGGCAACTCATTGTCTAGGGACAGTTCTAGCAAGGATCGGGAGAAACCTACATCTGCTGGCGCTGCATCGAAGGCAGGTAGGAGGAGTTTGATGTGGGGGAAGACCAGGACTCCATCCAACGCGACCAAGCTTACGTCTCTCTCTGAAGCCGAGACCGGCGCCGAATCACATTCTAGTCGAGATGGTGCCAATAAAAGCTCTTCGTCACGAAATGGTGGAGACGCTAAGCCCGGAGTTTTGACTCAAACTATCTCGAAGACTGTTGGTATGGGAGCTTTGAAATTGAGCTCACTGATGAAGAATCAAGATGAAGCTGAGCAAGTCATGAGTATATGGGCACCGTCAGCTGCTTCTGGGTATGAGAAGCCAAGTCTAAGTGATGGATGGGAAGAGATAATTCGTGATTTAATGACAAGCCAATCCGGTCAGTATGAAAAGTCCCGAAGGACGGAACGTCTACAGGTATATCTGAAGGCATTCAACAGCCCGGATGCAGATGGACTGATCAAGTCTACTCCAACATTACTATCAGGAATCTTGAAGACAAATAAAATGGGCTTTTCAGGAGCGCCAACAAAGCCAAGATCAGATATCTATGTCACTATTGATGACGCCTTTCTTCCCAAACATGCTCTTCTGTCACGATCGGTTGGCAGTGCGATGCCTGTATCCTCGTCCTTTGAAGGGTCAAATCTTCAAGTAACTATGGAAGTAAGAAAGTCAAGCGGAGAACGACTCGAGGGCGCCATTTACCCATCATCGAATGCAGAGGGACAAAGTTCTTGGGAGTCGGTAGCAGCCGAACGAGGCGATGCATGGAGCCAAACACTGCGCTTATCTATACCACAGCAAGAGGTTTCGAATTGCCATCTGGTGATGGTACTTGCGGATGCACCAAATCATCCCCTTGCTATATGCCATATTCCACTTTGGGATCAGCAGGCTTTCATGCGAGACGGACATCATTGTTTACTTCTGTACAAATACGATGAGACAACCATGTTACCTCGAGGCAGTTCGGCTGGTAAAAGTGGTTATCTCACCCTGCCATGGAATGCTGGCGGGAAAGATGAGGCTGTCACTGGACCGATCGCCACTCTTCGTATTCAAACATACCTATGCAGTACAAAATTTTCACAGGATAAAGTGCTCCTACGGATACTCAAGTGGAAAGACCAGCCGTCAGGAGATCTGCAGCAGCTTTTACAACGACTAGTCTTTGTCTCGGAGATTGAGATTGTGAAGTTACTTAGCGATGTGTTCGATGCGATCTTCGGAATACTCGTCGAACACACCGGAAACGATGATTACGAAGACCTCATTTTTAGTGCTCTAGTTACAGTCCTTTCCATTGTACATGACCGACGATTCAATCTCGGCCCCTTGGTTGATCAATATGCCGAAACTCGATTCAACTACCCATTCGCATCACCGTGCCTCGTGAGGTCTTTCACTCGTCTGCTTGCCAGCCCTTCTGATCCAGAAACCTCGAGAAAACTGCGTGCTACATTCAAGGTGGTTCGACATATCTTAAAATTCATCACTCATGCGAGAGGGCAGCAGAAAGTGAAGGAAGCTGACATCGGGATTACTCGTTCGAGTTCAGGGTTTGGCCGCCAACTCCGCCAGATTTTCAAGGCACTTGAAGGAATGATGAGAACCACGGCGCCCATTTTGGTAGGAAGTCAAACATTGGCTGTGCAACATTTTCATACTTGGCTTCCAGAGCTTACCGGCTTGCTCAGCAGAGAGCAGATTTTGCATATTGCCATTGACTTCATGGATTCATGTGCATTGGTAAAGGGAAAACTCATATTGTATAAACTTGTTTTAATCATTAATTATTCTCGACTGGATCTATTTACTCAACCCGAACAGATGAAGGCTATCGCTGCGAACACGGCTAGGTGGATCTTACCACATTGGGGTAAGACAACAGAGGTCACCGAACAATGGAGGGAGCAAGTTCGACTTTGTTGTTCAATTTTGGCGATACAAATGAATAATTTGGGCCCTGAAATTCCTGTATACATACCTAAAATCGTCGATTCATATCTTACACTACGTACAGGCGAAGTAAAGTCGCAGACTCGCTTGTCGTTGCTATTCCCCACCGCGTATCCTTTTCCCAGTAAAGTTATCGCCGAGAAGGCGGAATTCGATGAAGCACTTATTGAGCTTTCGGCAGTCCTATCTTCCATCTCAAATCTACCTGCAGGTATGCAGCTTGAGCTTGCACAAGGCGACATGGCAACTTTAATTGAGGGTCTCTTGAATATTCATCTAAGCATATTAGGATGTGAGGCATTTCCACAAAATTGGTTGAGCATTCGCATCTTCCACCACAAATCAACACTCAAAACACTCGAGTATTTGGCCGGTATTCTTCTGGACGGATTCATACCTCACCCTGACGATGCGGAAGAATATAATACCGAATTGTGGAAAGCATTCTTCACTACTTTACTCAAACTCGTCGGCAGTGATTCTTTGGCACTGGAAACATTCCCGGAGCAGAAACGAAGAGCAGTATGGAAGATTGCTGGTGATGTGCGTGAGAATGGCGCGGAGCTCCTGAGGCGAACGTGGGAGTTCACTGGTTGGGATACTACCCCTGAAGAGCGACAGAAATACGCTTTAGCCAAAATGGGAGGTTACCAAGTTCAATATGTGCCTGCACTTGTCGGACCAATCCTTGAGTTGTGTCTTAGTGTGCACGAAGGTCTTAGGCGCGTCGCAGTGGAAGTTCTACAGACCATGATCGTCAGCGAATGGACTTTGAGTGAAGATTTAAGTGCTATCCAAACTGCAATTATCGAGTGCCTAGATCAGCTCTTCAAATCGAAGCCCTTGACAGAAAGCATTCTACAGAAATTGTTCATCAATGAGCTATTCACCTTATTTGATAACTTGTCTCGAAATCCAGATGATCTGCTTTACAATGCTATAAAAGACCTCATTGGTACCACTGATGAGTTCCTGGATCTTCTCGTTGCGGTCAATAGTACGGACGTCACCGGTGAAGCTTCTCATATGATTCATCGCCTACGATTAATGGAATTTCTTCGAGATATGCAGAAGGAGGATATCTTCATTCGATACGTCCACCAACTTGCAGAGTTGCAGACAAATGCTGGAAACCACACTGAAGCCGGACTTGCATTGCGTCTTCATGCCGACTTATACCAATGGGATCCTTCCAAAATACTGCCTCCGTTGGACGAACCAGATTTCCCTGCCCAATCTCACTTCGATCGAAAAGAAAGAATTTATTTCGACATGATCAAAAACTTTGAAGAGGGTGAGGCATGGAGTAGTGCCCTGTCCGCCTACAAAGAACTGCAATATCAATACGAAGAGAATGTTTTCGATTTCTCTAAGTTGGCTAGAACACAACGAGCAATTGCCACAATTTACGAATCAATTTCCAAGGCCGACAAAATCGTTCCCAAGTACTTCCGTGTTATTTACCGAGGAATGGGCTTCCCTCAGAGCTTGCGCGACAAGGAATTTGTGTATGAGGGATCTCCTAATGAGCGAACTTCGGTGTTCACAGATCGCATGCAAGAGCAACATCCTTCGGCTCAGATTGTCACTGCTGGCGATGTGGACGACGTAGAAGGTCAATTCTTGCAAATATCCTCCTTGAGCCCGCATCGAGATCTTGCTCATCACGTCTTCCAACGTTCTAAAGTCCCTCAAGTCATTCGAGACTATCTACTCTCCGCAAATCCTCGTTATTTCTCCACCACATCTCGCCGCACTACTTCAGGCCCGATCAGTGAACATTCAGCTGAGAAGATAATCTATGCTACTGTAGATACATTTCCAACAATTCTTCGCCGCAGCGAGATTGTTTCCGTGGATAGATATAAGCTTGATGCTCACCAAACAGCTCTTGAACGAATCATTCGCAAAACCCAAGAGATGACTGCCGTGGAAAAGAGGATTGCAGATGGCGAAGATGATATTGCACCACTGTTAATTGAAGCAATAAGTATATCCGTGGATCCTAATTCTGAGACCAGTATCGCGAGATATAGAGAATTGCTGCCTCATTCTACACAGAGTGAGGACGAAGAGGGGGAAACGGTAGAGCTAGGACCGATAGATAACGCCCTCAAAATTGCGCTGATAGATCATGCTATTATGATCAAAAGATGCCTGGCTATGTTTGCAAAATCGCCCAATCTTCACAGTCAGGATGATTTGCAGCACTGTAAATCCCCATCTTTCCTTTATGGTCTTCATTTGCTTACATGTCATACAGATTTTGAACAAACATTTGCGTCCGAGCTCGCCTCTCTACAAATTCTCCAACCACTTCTCTCAAATACTTCCCCAGGCCTCGTTCCAGGCTGGACACTTTCGCCTTCATCATCCAAGGGAGATCTCATGAATAACTCACAGGGACATCTGGCACTTCCCCATTCCCAATCTTTCACACACGGTACTATCGATACCAGCATTCTCGATAGTCCCGATCACACCCGCGCAACTGGCGCTTCTAAACGTCTCAGTTCATTCCTTCTCAATCGAAATGGAAGTGACGATCGAGAAAATCGCCCTCCGAAGAAAGAAAATCGCAAGAGCTTCTTTAGTGGGAATGGATTAAGTATGAACGGTATTTCCATAACACATAAGGACCGTGGCCGAAAAGAAGCTGTAGATGATTTTGCCATTTCTGAAGAGAATGATTTGTCGCATAGTATGGAAGATTCTAAGGAATGGGTAACGCAGAGCGATCTTTCGGTTCAGCCTCCTCAAGGAAACTATACTACAAGTAATGTAGCTAATGGAAGGAGAAGCAGTAGTTCTCAACGCAGACCAGGCACTACGGGAACAGGTAGTAGCCAAGGTATAGGGGGGCTGGGAATGGGAATGGGTATTGGAATGGGAAGTAATAGTAGTGGATTTGGTGGAAGTGTGAGGAAGAGGTTTAGTGTGTTGAGGTTGGGGAAAAAAGCGAGTACGGTGGGGAGTGGGTTGAGTGGAGATTTAAAAGAGGAATAAAGTGGAGATGTCGACAGAGACAAAGATACCTCATGATACTGGGAGGGAAAGAAAGTAATTGAAGATTTTCTGGGTACGATCTACAACAAACTTAACATCATACAACAATTATGTTATGTTATAGGTGGATCTCTTTTTTTTTTACGAGGGATAGATGGGTGGATATGGATGGATATGGATGGATGGATGGATGGATGGAGGCCCTCGCACCCCTTGACGGACACAGTTTTCTTGCACATATTATACGCTATCTGGCTTCTCTTTTGTCACATTTGTTTTAAGCGCGGAGCTGGAGCGTGGATCTGGAAGAATGGTTAGTGGTGGGTAATCATGTCTTTTGTTCTTTTGTACAATTTTTAGTTCTTGGTGCGTGCGAAGGGTTATCTTTCGAAAAGGAGTGTAGGGTGGGGAAAGGAAAGGGGAGAAGATAAAGTGGGGATAGGAGATGAAAATACCCGAGACAAGTCGAAGTTGAATACCCAAAATACTCAGGTCCTCGATATACCTGGGAGAAATGCCTATAGTTGAGATACCATACATTACATACCTACATAACTTACATTATTTGCTTAATAATCATAGAGTAGATACATCAATACGTACTTGCGTACATGTATTCTGAGTTTTTTTGTCTTCTGTTTCTGTTGGGTGTGCTTTTTGAGAGGATTGGGGGGTGGTTTTAGATGTGTGGATGATGATTGGGAAATGGAGGACTGGGGCATTGTGAAGGCGATGGCGAGGGAAAGGGGATAATTGAAAGGAAGTTTATGGACAGATTGGAAGGTGGGAGGGGGGACTGTAACTTTTGTACATAATTATGTATTTAGTGCATAATACTCGGACGAAATATCAATATCGTGTTTTCATCGATAGACATACGGTAAATGAACAGAGTAAAGCTATCGAATTCTCTTTAGTATGAAAATCCCGAAGTCGGGAGAAATAGACGGTGTGCTGGGATAAGTTTTTCTGCTTAGGTGTTTTGTTTTTGCAGTTTGTGTGAGAGGGGAGAGCGGGTAGGAAAAGAGATAGAGGAAGGGTGTTATGTTCTAAGGACCTGGGATAGTTCCTTGGGGTTTGCGATGTCTTCTTCTAAGTGGTGGTTAAATTTTTTCTCTGGAATTGCGGTTTATGATTACTCTTGTGAGAGGGTTATGGAGAGTGCAGGTGAGTGGATAAATGATGTTGTTGATGTAGTTGCTTCTTCGGTGCATTTATTCTTAAGTTGTATATGTGAGGTATCTCTGCTATTTGTTGCGGTGGGCAATGGACTGTGTTTTCTATTGGTAACTTGCAGTACTGAATGCCGAGAGAAGATTCGACTAAAATGTTCTGTTGAAATTGAAATTAAATCTATCCTTCACTCTAAGCTATTCATCTTAGACTATTCTTCAAAATGGTTGATATCGAGTTGACAAATGTCGAGACAAGAAGCCATCTGTCTCAGCCAAGTGTGCAGAACGCAAGCATCAAAGAAGAGTCCTCCTCAGGTACAGAAAGCAAAACTGTATTCCTTTTTTGATACAAATACTGACTCATTCTCTCAAACGAACATAAAACTCAATTCAGTTTGCCGCCTAGTGACCCAGATCCGACAGGCAAACATCCAAAATCATCGGTACCCGCACACATTGTTGAAGCTACTTTGGAGGACAAAGATGAAGATTTGATCATGCTTCCCGCTGCAAAATTGGAAGAGTGGTTGAAACAAGGTATTCGAATCTTACGAGAGAACCGACAAAGAACGAAGGCTGTTGGATCCGATCCAGAATACGAAGCGTTAGAAAATGAACCAGGAAATCCAGGTCCGCAACACTTTGAGACTTCTTCCGCATCAGATAGAATTTTCGAAACACCAATTGATGGCCAACTCTTCAACAATCTATCAATGAGTCTCTTCCCCAACTCGGGGACCGGCAACTCTTTACGGCAACTCAGAAAAAATTGTTGATCCATTCTTCGATAGAGTTCGTAGAAATCCTTTCTAGTTTGAAGAAATAAGTGCCGACTCGCCCTCGAAAATTACAATCGACAGAAATGCATTGAGTACCCTTCAGCTCGGCGATCTTGATGAATTTTTTCAGTTTGGGAGATTCCATCGCTTTGAAAACTCTGAGTCACCTTTCGATATATTATGGCAGACGTATTTCAGTAAATTGTTTGAGTCTCGCTACTCCAGGAGTGTTGCTCATTGCCAGTGGTTCGTGACGGTTCGAAAAGCATGGTTTCGAAGACGTTTCGGCGCAATCGTACCTTCGACGAATTCCTTTCTCGTAGGAATTTGCTTTGCTCACATGTTTTGTAACGGTGGTACTCATGGTGGTGATATAACCATTGGCTCTGTACTGTCGTATTGTTTTGATAGTGAAGTCCTTTCAAGGGGAAAAGTGAATGACCATGAAGGCATTAAATTGCTTGCAGAAATCGTACCTATATTCAACGATTACATGAAGCTAGAGTCTGACGATCCTTTTTCACCCAATAGAAGACTTCTCCTCTGGCTTATGCCCATCAAGACCGAAGAAGCTCTTGCGCTGAATGTGCAGGAATTTATGCTCATTATACGGTTTCTCAAGGTGCAATCAACTTTCCCAATCAACAGAATAGACAGCCCTTCTCCAACATCTCTCTTTATTAATGATCTAAATTTTGAGTCATTGAAAGAAATCGGTGGTCTACGATTGGTCTGGACAGATGTACTGGATGAACATCTCCTTCTCGATCACGAAACTAGGAGACTATTCGTCGCATTTTTTGGAAGCATCGAGAATTCACAAAATCGTTCATAAATCTAGGAAAATCCTCGCAGTGAGTGGTGTCTTCTATTCGAGACCTACTGTACCTAATAATTTACATCTAGGTACCGATCTGTTGATACACCCATTTGGAATGCTTTTGCTCCCACAAGTGATTCCGAGACGAATGGGCCCAGCATATTTGACGGCGTTCACAGAACGTGGGATTTGTTAAATTCAGCTTCGGATGATCGCAGAAAACTTTATAGATCTATAGTTGATGCGGCTAGATGGCCAACAGAACGGCTGTGGAAAGATACTGGCACAATCACCTCATCAGAATACTCCTTCTTAGACTCGTTTCACGAGTTTCCTTCTTATACGATTGGATTGGCCATACAAAATGATTCTGAAATATCATGCAGTCATTTCGGCCCTCTTGAACATCGCGTCCGGATTCTCCGAGAATACATGGACAAGCAAAAACCGCGTGGTTTTCGACAGCTCTGGATGGACAGCAGGGATTCTTTCAATTATTATACATTCTGGGGAGTTATAATCTTTGGGGCCGTCAGTGTTTTCTTAGCAACGGCATCACTTGCAGTTAGCATTACTCAGACATATGCTTCTTTCAAGTCTCTTGGATATCTGATGTGAATTGGTGCTGTGGGATGTTTCGCTGGGAATGGGTTGATCACTTATGAGACAATGAGGCAATGAGTCACGACGACAGCTTGATGACGATGACGAGGTCATATTCTATTTGTCTTGAACATGGTTATAAAATATACGGCTGAATACCATCGCATTTCAATCTCTCACGAAAGTTCCACTTCGTGACTCAATCTCTATAACAACCTGACTGTTACCATCTCACCAAAACCAGATTTCACTCTCTATCGCTCTAGTATTGGATCTCCATTCTATATTACCCCCGTATATCATAATGGAATACCTACACAATAAAGTGAGGAAACATTTGTCGCTACCACACATATCATCAAACAAAGTGAAACTAAATTCTCTGTACTATATAAAAACAGAAAGACTAAACCGTACACATCCCTACTGTCAGTCTAATTGTCGCAGAGCCTGAAAAATACATCCCATCTATCATCCGAACCAATAAGACAAATGCACACAATGCACACGATCTAGACATAGAGACGACACTAAATGACCTATGACTTGTACGAAGAAGTGTTTCATTGCTAAAAACGGCGCTAGGTTCAATACTAGCATAGTCCTGTGCTACTAGCGTATCCATATATACAATATAATATAATAAATCTCCTATACGCAACATAACTTTTCCTCCAAGGCACGCAAATATCTGTACTACTCTGACAGTTGGGTCTATATCGAAGTAAAAATCCTAAGAATCAACCAGACGTATGCACTTCGTCCTTATATTATGTGCATATAGACTCAATCAGAATAAATCTCTCAAACCCTTCTCATATCGTCCCAGGTTCCAAATACCGAATCTACACACGAGACATTAAACATTCAATCGTCACCAATCAGTAAACGAAGAAGTCGCTGGAAGTCAAAATGCAAGATATTATTGTTAGCCAAAATCCCTCAAGTTAGCTACTTCCACCAAATTTCAATGGATTAACACCAAATAGCAAGGTATCAAACAACGCACAAGGAAAATAGAAAGCGGAACATTGCACCTCGCCACCTCAACCTTCAAATTATCACAAATCCAAATCCAACGCATTAGACCAATAAGCGAAAGATAAATTATTCCCCGGAGATCCATGTCCAGGTCCCTCTTCACCCATTCAAATTCAATGCGACCCATCATTCTTTTCCATGCAAATCATTACCAACAATTCCAATCTTCCGAATCAGCAGCATTAGCCCCGGCTGGTCATGCGCCATTCCTCTTTCCTTTTCCCTTATTCACCACCGGTGCCGGTTCATTCAACCCTCCATCCCAACAGATCTTCATTGTAGTCGGAAAGGGGAATTCGGATCCCATCATCTTATCCATATAAACATAGAATCCACCCTCTCTTGGGATCTTCTTCATTTCTCCCTGAGGGCCAGATGCTCGTCTCAGATTGTCAAGTCGGCCAATACATTTGAGCATCGCTGTAAGAGCTACACGTGAAGCTTCGGCGCCGAGACAAGCGTGCGAACCGACACCATAGACGAGGTAAGAATCGACTGGACGATCTAGACGAACTTTCTTTGGTTCGGGGTAGATTTTAGGGTCTTGAGCCAGTGAAACCTGAGGGTTTGTTAGTTTATCTTCATGAGATCACAGGGAGAGAGGCATACGAAACTGACGAAGACTGAATCGCCAGGCTTGCAATCGACTTTGCGAGATCCATCGTTGACAGTAATGTTTCGATGACATGTGCGGTAAGCACCGAATGTGCCGTACATTCCTATATGTTGTTAACACGGGGCATAAACAGATTAGACAGACATAGCTTACTAATTCCTTCTAACAAGTAATGCAAAAGGATATCGTCTGCCTCTGCTGTGTTGAGCTTTGCAAGACGGTTAATCTCTGGAAGATGTTCTCTGCCATCACCAAGATAAAAGTCAAGGACTTGACCAAAAACTTGTGCTTGATTCGCTACCATTGCTCCTGCTGTGGGCAAAATTTGTGACCAACTAGGAACATTAGTAAAAATAGTGAAGGATTGAAGGATACACTGACACAGTCTCATGAACACCCAAGCCAGTCTTCAACAAATGGCGTACCATGTGCACACCATAATCTTTAAGTGCGTTATTTTCTTCCATGAAAGTATCAACGATACCTGATACAAGACTAGTCTTCGAAATAAAGTTCACATTTTGCTCGACTAGTTGACCAAGATCTTGTGTGATTGGAAGACCAGCAGCACGTAGTGCAAAGGTTTTGGCTGGGTCGACGTCACCAAAGAAGATTACGATGAAGATAACAGCCAACACCATGTACAATTCATGCTCGGTATATACACCTTTGGGATTATCTTCACTCTTGAGTGGTAGGTGAAAAACGTTGGCGGCAAAGTGAACATGAGCTAGGCAGTATTAGTCAAAAACAAAAAGGGGCAAACCGACAAAATCCTCACCGGAATTGTCAATATCGCGAATAACATCAACCTGGCTGGTCGTGCCACCAATATTGTAGGACCATCTCTTGAGAAGCTTTGGAACAATACTTTCGTAATAGTTCTTGACACTCTCGTGCCATTTCTCTTGGTAAAGACATTCCTTCATTTGATTGCGACGTTCGGCAAAGAAGTCGCCATCGCCAGATAACATGAAATTGGCACCTAAACTTACATCAATATTGAGTGTACAGTTTCGCAACGAGTTTACATACCTGGTTTTCCCATGAGGTAAGAAAAACCTCTGCGCCAATTATCAACTCCAAATACTTCCGCGTTGGTGAGAACACTCTTGACTCCATCATAGGTGACGATATTCTTTCGTTCTGGAACCTTGACCGGTTTGTCCCAACTGTAGTCATCTGCACGACCAAGTTTTTCCATAATCTTTTTATTTTCAGACGGTATCGTAAGGGGATAGTGAGCATATACGCTGTTATAAGAGAAATGATTTGGAAAAGCGCGGATGAACAACTTATAGAAAACGCAACCTTGATTGACGTTCAAATCATAGTTGACTTCAGTAACGCCCCAATTCGTAAGGTTTGCTGGATGATAGTCGGTGGTGTAAAATCTGTCACCACGAACCAATGTAACTGCATCAGAAAGAATGCTACGACTGATTGTATAGGTCGGTCCAATACCAACACCTGGATCCATAGGCTCTTTGGCATCTTCACAAACTAATCCAGCATAAAGTTCCACCAAATCAGGCTCATCGAACAGCACCTTCAATTTCTCATAGACAGCTGGATTTGAATTGATGTCTGAGAACTTTTCATGTGGTATGAGGCCGAAGTGTTTGCGGAATTCATTTAGTGTTGCGCACTTCCATGCACGAGCTTGTTCCATTCCAAGGATTTCAACAGCACGAAGGACTGCAGGAACGTTATTTGCTCCTGATGACCCAGCCAAGTCTTCGATACTGGCGGTCAATTCTTTAACAAGATCATCATCATTGAGTTTTCCGTCAGTACCTCTCTTCATACCAGCGAAGTCTCGTTGTAGCGGATCTTCTGGTGTCATTGCTTCGAGCTTACCCAAACCAATAAGAAGCTCCTGCATAGTGACTTCCTTGTAGCTCTTCCCAAATATTTTCATGTACAGATCTTCTGACCATTTCTCATCACGTTGACTGATACAGGAATGCCATCGGTACACGCTATATACAATGAGCTTTAATTATGAGAAGGCAATTAATTGGAAGGCTTACAGATTGAATTCGGCGGCACATTGATTCCCGACTCCAGCGGCAGTTCCGGGCTTGCTATTTCTTTCCATTTCGATCCGAGGATCAAGAGTCCTATTGAATTTTAGCTATACACATTTCTTTCCTCAATTAAAACAACTCTTACCAGGTAGAATTGACCCGATTCAGACCGACAATTGTGCGGAGATAATCGAGTAGAATAATGTTAATGTAGAGACCGCAGGTAATAAGCCGTCCGGTTTGAAAGAGATCATTGTCGTACTTTTTCCAGGCTGCTTGCTTCTTGTCGTCTGGTAGATTGTCCTTGGGGGGTGTAAAGCGTCCATTCTCGTTTATTGCTGCCAATTGTTTCACTACATGGTTGTGGAAACGATTGAACATCTATCACACTTTAGTTACCGGTCTAAGATTCATATAAGCAACCTACAATAAGAATGCACCCAACTCCAGGAGGAAAACCTAATAATCTCTTCTCTGCGAAACAATCCGGCTTCAGCTCTCCATTCTTTAGTGTTCGCATGTTATCTTGTTCATCCTGATTACTCCCGTACAGAGGAGAAAGATCTAAATAAGAGGAGGTCATTGAAATGTTGAAATCTTCGTGTGAGGTGCGGAAGCAGTCATGAATGATAATGCTTGCGATATAGTAAAGCATACTGGAAACATTGTTCGGGTGGGGCTTGAATCCACCATTTTCTCGACTCATAATTGTGTCGAATATGAGCCCTGGATCTGGCTTTGGGTTTGGTTGAATGATTTTTGGAGTTACACTTCGAGCGTACGCTGTGCCTGCTTTTCCGATATCGGGAAACTTGATGTTATTATATCTTTGGATAAGGATTAGTTGGAGAAATATCCCGGATGATTCTGGTGGAATGCTCACGAGCCATCAGCTTGTCGATAATTATACTTGTCACCAAGCATTGAAGCTGGTGGATGTTCCAAGGATCCCCACAGCTCATCAACAAGTACTTCCGTAAGCTTAACTCGAGTCTTGGAAGTTCCAGGAAGGTTTGCAACCAACTGTTTGATTTTAGTTTTTGCATGTCGAAAGTCAAGGGTCAGACTTACCTGAATAAGCTTCTCCATTAACATGGTCTTGTCATCGGCCAGATTTGAGGATCCTAGTTCTTGCTTTATAGTCATCTGCAATGTCTCTAGATCCTTAATTCGCAATGCTTTGAGATCCTCCCATAAACCCGACTGCTCTTGTTTTGTATCGTATGAGCCATCTCCCGTTTCGGTATTCAAAGGACGATTGGCCGTACTGATAACTTTTCCGAGTGACTCGAGAGTTCCTACGATACCAGCGCGTTTTACACTATGATCGGGACCTTCAAATACCTGAGGATTGGAGCTTGCAGTGCCACCGGTAGACTTTTTAGTCACACCTAAAGTCAAACGACGCGCTGGGCCGCCTGATGAGGTTGCTCCATTTTCGGCAGACGTAGGTGAAGATTTATTAGTTTCCTTGTCTTTAATTTTAAAGACACTCGAAAGGCGTCTCATCATTGCGATTAGCCTTTACTGAAGCGTTAGTTTCGTCTCAAGATACGACGAATGTAGACAACAATATAGGAAGAAGCTAAAGTGCATCATGTTGCTTTTGGCTTACCTAGGAACAGTCGATTATCAGTTGCGGTAGAAGAGGAGAGAGCGACGTATGAGCTGGATGTATGAGTTGAATCAAAGTGCCACCAGAGTATCTATATGATTTGTACTCTTGAGCGAGAGAAGAGGGGCAGGTTATAGATAGCTTTGTTTGAGAATAAAAGTAAAAGGGGAAGTGATGTAAGAGGGACTAAAAGAAAGAGGTTGGAAGCTGAGCTACCTGGTAAGCAATTGAGGGAGGGGAAAGGGAAGCTCTCCCCTCGATTTGATAGCTCCTGCAGTGTTGTAGCAGTCTTGAAGAGAAAGTGGAATTTATAACCCCTTCGTTGCAATCCAATTAAAACCTGTGAATATCAAATTGAAGGGTTACATCAGAGCTTCTCAGAGGCTGAAATATGAGTAATTCATTGGACAATGCGTTGACAGTCTTCAGATTGAGGTGAGACCTGAATGTATGCAAAGTCGCAGATTTGGACATGGCGCGCCACTTGATAGGAAAGGCTTGCACTTGATGTATCATTAAGTCGCCACGCTACTCGATATTATCCTAAATGTTCAATGTATGGATGTGATATTATTATTGAATCTCTAAATCGAGATTTGTGGTCAAACAAAAGGCTTTACAACATTCTCCGAAAGCTCGATTCGAATCTCAAAATCGAATGATCTCTCAGGTTTGTGCTTTGCTTGACTCATACACGGAAATCAATGACACAAGGTAGACGAAATTAAAATGTTTCAAACCTACTCCAACAATTGATTGGTTTATTAAGAGCACAACATTGTACCCGACCCCGCAAGCCGATATCTGGGGAAGTGAGAGGATTTCGCCAATGGCATAGAACCCTACAACGAATACACTGTTTGCTTTACTTTGCAGGATGTGTGCGTTTGTGTAATTTTGATGCTGCTGAAAATGAAGCTCCAGGGACGCGAAGAAGTCCCACTTGAGTACTTCGTGGGTGAAAAAGCATTGGCTACTGCGCAGCAGCTCAACCCCTCAATCTCCTCTTTTCAGGGGCTGTTGAAGCTCAAAACATCCGAATTTGTCTTCTCACAGAGTCGCAGAGCAGTGAGGAGAAGATAGCTTGCAGAGCAAGGATTGTGGAGGGCTGCAATGCAAGGTAAAGTTGTATTTGATTGAGCTCATGATTTATCAACCAATTGCACCACTCGGTATGATATACCCATCCAATTGAAGTGGGAGGGTTATATGAGGGGAAAACGAATTGAAATGGAGATTTATATTTACAATGAGAACAAGTGAGAGTCAACAAAAAGGAGGAGAGAGCTGGAGAGAGACTGGAATGAAACATACTAAGCCAAACTTTGAGTCTATCATATCACGTGATGAACGATCTACATTCACCGCTTTCCCATAGCTTGATTTTGATGTCTATACCTTTCTAGATCCTTTCTAGATAGATCTATAGAGATGTACTAGGGAGTTGGTCTCTAATTTTGCTTCGATGAGTTTAATTAGACTTCAAAGTATCTCGAACAGATGAGTACTGAGTACTGCCAAAGTATCGTTTTGATTGGGCCTAGACCGTACAGTTGGCAGGGTACGTTGGATTTCCCTACGATGATCATCATCATGATCGGTGAATTGGTGGCGGATATTCCGTGCCTGGCCCAATTGGCCTGGTCAATAGTCAAAAGTCAAATAATTTTGAAGATCGCCAGCCAACAAGCAAGTTCACCCCGTTCACTTATTACTTCCCTCGAGCTCAGCGCTGTTTTCTTAAATCTTCAACAATCTTGATCAATCCCTTCAGATCATACATTGTCAATTCTTCCAAAATGGCAGTCACACTGAAGGTTACAAATCGCTGTAAGTTGCTCAATCTGCTGCCATTGAACATTCTTGAAGCTAATCTTCAAAGCTCCCAAAACCCCCATCAAACGTCTCCCCACCTCGATTGATATCGACGAAACGACCACGGTTCAAGATGTCAAAGATAGATTGGCTAAGCAAGCCGGCGGTTGGGACCCCAATAGATTTGGTATTTTCGATCCGGAACAGAAGAAGATTTTGAAAGATCGGAAAGCTTTCATTTCTCAACATAAAGAAGTGATCATTGGAAAGGAAATCTTGATCAAGGACCTGGGTATATACTTTGCAACCCATCACTCGAATCTAAGCATCAAAACTTACATTACAATCTATTATAGGTCCTCAATTAGGCTGGCGTACCGTCTACATAATCGAATACCTCGGTCCCATCTTAATCCATCTTGGATTTCCCCTCCTCCGCCCTTATATTTACTCTCATCCTACTACCTCCATTGCCCCCCTCTCGAGCTCTCAGCTGCTCTCTATGTCGCTCATAGTTCTTCATTTTCTTAAACGCGAATATGAGACCGTCTTCGTTCACCGTTTCTCCCTGTCTACAATGCCAGCTAGAAACATCTTCAAAAATTGCGCTCACTATTGGCTTCTTAGCGGTCTCTACATCGCCTACTTTATATATGCCCCCTCATCGTACACTGCCCTCTCATCCTCGACAATCGACTCTCTGAATATGGCTGGCGTGGCTCTATACCTCTTTGGCGAGCTTTCTAATCTCAAGACTCATCTTACTCTCTCCAACCTTCGCTCTCCGGGAGGGACTGAACGTGGAATTCCCCAGGGTTACGGATTCTCCATGGTAACATGTCCCAATTATTTTTTCGAGACGCTCGCGTGGATTGGTATGATCTTAGTGACTAAGAGTTTGAGTACGGTCATCTTCGCGATTGTTGGGACAGCACAGATGCAGCAATGGGCCGTCAAGAAGGAAAAGCAATACCGTGTTGATTTCGGAGACAAGTACAAGAAGAAGAGAAATGTTCTCTTTCCTACCCCAGGAGCTTTCATCAAGGAACTCACTGGTTAATGGTCTTGAGATTTTGATGAAGGAATCTCCCAGGACGATGGGAATTTGATGGTATGGCTGTATTTCCCAGGGATGGAAATCCTAGGGCTCATACAAATCACCATGATCATTTTCAGTGAGTTTTGGAATGAACTGAAGATCAATCCGAAGTACACTATAGAGCACATAATACTGTTTGGCTTGTTAGGCGAATACCAATAATGTTATGAATCATCCTACCAAATCTCTTTTTAATTTTCAATCTTATTTATAGGTCACTTGCCGTCTCTACATTGCCACATTCACTTGACCTAAATAATTCGCAAACATGCGGATTCCAAGACTCAATGTTCTTGGTATGTCTCAGTCTTTTGTCATGAGACAAGTGCTCAGCCCAATATCATAAACGCATCTTGGTGTCAGCTTTATTCCTCGGCCATTTCACTGTTCTCCAAAATGAGCTCACAACAAGTGCATCTTGGAAGTCGACTAGGATGGATTAAACTCTCACTCCTCGTACTCGAAAAACTCTACATAAACTGATGGTGGCTCCTGATCATTTCCATATGATCTGCTCTTCAGATACCTCTTGACGGCCTTTCTTCAAGCAGCATACAAGTATTGAATAAGATCCTTGACCAGAGCCCAATGCTGTTCGTTTCAATGGTTTCTCTTCGTGTTTGAGGGGCTTTGACATTTCATGCGACCAATCATACCCCGCATTCGAGATCTGACCACAGCTCGTTTCATACATCCTCCATCTATCAATTGACCTTATTTCTTAACCTTATACTATAATTCAAGCTTTCTAGTGTGTGTTTCTCTATTAGAGATTGTTACCAACAATTGCCAACCCTCTTTTGTGGAGGTTCTAGGGTTTTGCAATTGTGCTTCAAACATTTAACCCTGTTACCGCAATTAGTTGTCACACTCAATTCGTGTCTGTGCTGCTTTCCCTATGTTCAAATCTACCACATATGTGATTTTCCGGCATAAAAAACTTATAGTTCAAGACTTTTAGTCGGGAAGATGTGCTTGGAAGTGCACTCTTTCTTTGCGGAGCGTTTCCAATTCCGCTTTGCTCTCAAAAGGGATCTTCCTCTACTATCCTTTATATCTCTCCTTTCCGTCACTCTTGTTGTTTCTTTGCTCGGTGATTTTGATAATTATCCAGTCTTCATCGTTCCTTTTAATATTTGCAGAGCAAAATATAGTGGAGTAATAGTTGATTCTATTACCAATCTCTTTCAGAATAATGTATACACCATCAATCCTCTCGCTGGCACTCCTTGCCTCAAGCGTTACTGCATCGATCACTGATGCCCCAGCGACAAATAATACTGCCTCGGTCGCTGCTGCTAATACTTCTGGGATGACGTTATCCCAAGCGATCGCAGCTAACAACGAAACTCTATCTACTCTTTCCAGTGAGTTGTATAGTATTCCTCTAACATCACTATATTAACATTCGCAGTGCTTCTCGGACAACAGCCCGCACTCGTAAGCGCACTCTCCTCCAACACTTCCTCTGGAATTACAGTCCTGGCACCAAATAATGCGGCGTTCACGAAATTCCTTGCCACGCCTGCAAATAAGGCCGCAGCTGGCCAAAGCGACGTTGTTGCTGCTGTTCTTCAATACCATGTTTTGAATGGTACATTTCCGGCCAGCATGTTCTCCAAGGACGCAAAGTTTATTCCAACGCTTCTAAAAAATGAAAGCTACACCCAAGTCACAGGTGGACAGGTAGTACAGGTTGCTCTAGTTGGCTCAAATGCTGTTGTTACCGCTGGATTAAAAGAGAAAAGTACTACAACACAGACTGTAAGCAATTGATCAATTCTTTTCGTCCTTTGAAATTGTTGCAAAAACAGATCTAACATGAATTAGGATATCATGTTCAATGGGGGCGTGATGCACATCGTCGATACAGTCCTTACCATTCCTATTTCGCCATCCATGTCAGCTATCGACTCAAATCTGTTGTCTCTTGCAGGTGCCCTCACAACTACTTCCCTCGTAGCACCAGTCGACTCCCTCAAGGATGTCACTATCTTCGCTCCTTCTAATGAAGCTTTTGAGAAAATTGGGAACACAGCTGCTGCTCTACCTACAACGCAACTCAGTCAAATCCTCGAATACCACGTTCTTAACGGCACTGTATGTTCCTCCCTTAATCTCGCAATTACTTAATTCCTAACTAACACATTCATAGGTCGGTTACTCCTCTCTCCTCTCTACCGGGCTAGCCAACGAATCTTTCCCATCGCTCATGGGTCAATCCCTCACCGTCACCTCAGAAGACTCCAAAATCTTCGCTAACAGCGCCGAAGTCATCGGCGCCGATATCATTGTTTCTAACGGAGTCATGCACATCATTGACAACGTTCTAAATCCCTCTAACACAACTGCTGTTACAAATCCTACTGCGACTTCGCAACCTGTTGCTTTTGAGGGCGCAACCAGTGCGGCAGTCGCGCCATTCACCAGTGGTATTACGGCGACAACTACAGCCCCCAGTGCCGCTACGGGCACATCAGGAAGCGAGAAGAGGATTGGAGGAGAGAGTCTGGGAGGCGCAGTCGCCGCTGTTGTGGGTGCTGCTATCATGTTTTTGTAGTCGGAGTAGTGTGGTAAAATGTGTAAGTGCGGAGGGTAGAATATGATTATTTTCTTTTACAATTTTATACGAGACAGGATTTTATGAAACAATACCATAGTCTTTGATTTTCAAGAAGTTTTATCAATTCCTGTTTCCACAATGCAAATAAACCACATGTGTTATTGTAAACATTTGCATTCGGGAAGGGGCTTGATTAAGGGGGTGAGCGGGGATGCACATATTATGTGGTCACTTTGAAATATGTTTTTAAAAAGACTGAATGAAAAACGTTGACCTACAGTTGGTATTTGCCAAAATGAAGATATTTATTATCAAAGTGAATGAATTATTGACTTGCATATCATGAATTCTTTCACTCAAGTATCACACCAACAACACCTATCTACCAACAGCACGGACAACTTCGTGATTACGTAACCACATTCTGTCTCAACGCGAACGCGACAACGATAATTGCTTGTCAATAATTAGATTATTTACTTAGCAACCATAAATCCGACAGCTTCTCTGGACACATACTATCCAACCACACTTTCAATACTTCTCAGATGATTCGCACATCATGGCCGAACTCGAAATTGGCCAAACGGTGGAGCTTGGAAATGGTGCTATAGCAACTATTCTATGGATAGGGACGGATCCAATATTTGCTTCAGGGGACTGGGTCGGAGTTGAATTGGAAGATGGAGGAGGCAAAAATGATGGCAGTGTCTTGGGAAGGCGATACTTTCAGTGCGAGATGGGCAAAGGAATGTTTGTTCGCCCCTCTACTATTGCTATTATCGATCGACCTGCACCACCTCCAAAAGCACCTACGCCTGCAAAGAAACCTGGTCGACCAAGCAGCGTTGCTGCCCCGGCGGCACGAAGAACAAATTCTGTGCCAGATAATGGTATAAAGAGGAAAAGCATGAATGCTCCAAGCCCAAGCCCCATGGGAAGACATCCCTCTGGCCCTTCAGGCCTTCGTGTATGTATACGTTCATATGGTGCCATACATATTCTAATCCTAAATCTAGTCTCCCACAAAATCTCCTACCAAGCAACTATACTCCGCAGGTACTTCAGTTGCCTCAACCTCCCGAACCGGAACACCTGCGAATTCTCGTGCGCCCTCTGCCGGCGTTATAAGACCTCGGCCATCATCTGTAAGTCGAACATCAATGGGCCCGCCACCTCCACCTGGAGGACGAGGAAAACCTTTAGCTGGAGGTAGCGGTGTAGCGAATAGGGTTGGGGGACCTGCGACAAGGACAACTGCTTCTCGTCCCACCTCTTTGGCCCCTAAACGTACACTTCGACCTGCTCCGGACCGCGCACCATCAGGGTCTAGTCAAGTCAGTGATGGTACTCATGATACGGTTGATGAAGATAGACTGCTATCACCCTCAATCAGGAGTGAAACGGATCAGTTGTCTCCGCAAGCTTCAAGTCCCGTCTTTACTAGGACTGGACGAGAAGCTTCGCCAGCAGGATCACCAGCTGGACAGCGTGTTGCAACGAGTACAGCGGCTAGCAGAGAGATTGAAGACCTGAAAACAAAGCTAAGAGTGATGGAGAAGAAGCGAATGGAGGATAGGGAGAAGCTGAAAGGTTTGGAAAATGTTCAGGCTGAAAAGGAGAAATTCGAGGCAATTATACAGAAGTTACAGACGAAATATCAACCTCAGCAACAAGAAATAACGGACTTGAGAAAACAATTGAAAGAGTTTGCTGCTAGATTTGAGGAAGTGGAAGGTATGCAGGCCGAACATGAATCGATACTTGAAATGGCAACACTGGATAGGGAAATGGCAGAAGAAACAGCCGAAGTGCTCAGGACTGAATTGGATGCCTTAAAACAAAAGACTGAAGAGTTGGAATTGGAGGTCGAGGTATTGCGAGAAGAGAATACAGAATTAGGAGGCGAAATGAGTGCAGAAGAGAAGACTAGTCAAAGTTATCTGCAACTGGAGAGAAAGAATGAACGATTAACGGAAGCCCTTCTGAGGCTTCGGGATCTGACACAACAAGCTGAGGCCGAGCTTAAAGACGAAATTAAGAGTCTACAAGAAGATGTTCAAGAGCTCGGCAGTGTTAAGGAGCATTATGATGTGGTGAAGGGAAAACTTGCTCAGTCAGAAGCAATTATTGAAGATCTCCGCCAGCAACTCGATAACGCTCTAGGTGCCGAAGACATGATTGAGGAACTTACCGATCGAAACATGAGTATGAGTGAGCAAATTGAGGAACTCAAAGTTACAATTGAGGACCTCGAGAGCTTAAAAGAACTTAACGATGAACTCGAGATTAATCACGTCGAAACCGAGAAGGAGATGCAGGAAGAAATCGACTTCAAGGAAAGCATTATTAATGAGCAAGCAAGACGAGCAGCGCAACAAGATGAGACCTTGGATGA